GTTTCTATGTATTGTTTGCTTTTAAATGCATGTGTACATTTGTGTGCAGTAGTGGAGTTTGAATTAAGGGGAGTGTTTGTACATACTTTTATAATTTGAGTGCAAGGGTGTGTTTGTATACATTAGCTGTGTTTGAATGTTGTGTTGTTTTTTGATTGCTGGGATGTATGCACATATACACATACACTGCCACATAGATACATACATACACAAATATACATACATAGAGATACACACACTGACACACAGATAAGCACATTGGCACATAAACACACCTTAACACATACACACACCTTGACACACAAATAAACACACTGGCACTTATACACAATGACACACAGATAAACACACTGACACATACATACACTGACACAGAGACACACACATTGACACTCAGATAAATACATCGACACATGACGCATAGATAGACACACAAACAAACTTACATACATACATGCAATATGTATTTGTAGCCTCCCTCTTGTTAACTTACCTTTTGTGTGCAGGAGGGTGGCTTCCTTGGGATCCTGTCTGCTGATGCTGGCTGTGGCTGATGGGAGTGTGAGTCAGGGGCAGGGCCGGCGCGTCCATAAGGCGGCACAGGCAGCTGCCTTAGGGCGCTAGAGCAGGTGGGCGCAATAATCCATATCCTCGGGCTCTGCTTCTGGATGGGGACTTGGATTTTTCAACTCACCTGTCTCCCTGCAGCCAGCGCAGTGCAGTCAGTGCTGTCAACCGGCCCTTCTTGATGATGACATCCACTGCTCTTCTCTCAGACTCTCCAGCAGATTGCGGATTGCTGTGGGGTCCTGGAGTCGAGCAGCGGAAGTCGCGCCCCCTCCTGGCTGCCCTGCGCACTGGCTGCTGGCTATTCCTGTCCCACCTAAACCACCAGGGACAAGGCTTCCCCCTCCCTGGTCCAAGGTAAGACTCAGAGAGGGGGGAATGTTTTTTTATTAACTTTTAAGCAGCCTCTGCCCCTCTACAGCCCCTAACCCCCCCCACTCTACAGCCCCCCCACTCTATAGCCCCTACCCCCAATCTATAGCCCCTGTTACCCCTCTACAGCTCTTACCCTCCACTCTACAGTTCCTACCCCCCCACTCTACATCCCCAGTTACCCCTCTAGAGCCCCTAACCCCACCACTCTACAGCCCCTGTTACCCGTCTACAGCCCCTACCCCCCCACTCTACAGCCCCTACCACCACACTCTACTGCCCCTGTTACCTGTCAACAGCCCCTGTTCCCCTCTCTACTGCACCTGTCGCCAACCTCTACATCCCTTGTCCCCTCTTTACATCCCCTGTCCCCTCTCTACATCCCCTGTGACCCCACCTCAACCCCTGCCTCCCTCTACAGCCCCTGTGCCCCACCTCTACATTTCTTGCCCCCCTTTTACAGCCCCTCCCCCCCCTCTACTGCCCCTGTCACCAACCTCAAGCCTGCCCACATTCTAAAGCCCTTGTCGTCCCCCCTTCTACAGCTCCTGCCCCCCCCCAAAGTACCCAAGTCCGCTGCTACACATCCCTCCAACTACAGCCTCTATCCCCCCACATTCAGCCCTTAACCTGTACTCCAGACCCTAACAGTGTCTGTATGTCTGTGTGTGTGTGTCTGTATGGCTGGAAAAAAGAAAGAGACAAACAAAGAGGCTGGGGTAAGTAAGAGATACACAAGGGGTTAAGAGACACACAATTGGGTGTAAGACACACTAAAGGGGGGATAAAATACACTAAAGGGGGTTATGAGATACACAGGAAAAGAAGCGTTTTTGGGGGGGGAGGGTGTGGGGGGGCAACAAAATGGATCTTCGCCTGTGTAGCCAAAAATTCTTGCACCGGCCCTGATCAGGGGCAATCTCTCTCTTTGCTCCTCCCACTCCTGTGCCTTCTTTCCTCCTGCACAGCTCCATCTGATTGTGAGAAGAAGTGATCAGCTGTCACTTCCTCCCAGCCAGATGGTTAGCCCCTGTTCACCAATAGCCATCAGGTGGCCCTAAGTGAATGCACTACTTGATGGGCTCCCTAAGTTTGTGGGCCCCGGTGCCACTGCACCGGCTGCATTGGCGGTAGTACCATGACAAAGTGGAGTGGTGCGAACCCCAAAAGGAATCTTGTCTGGGTTCCAAATATACATAGTACAAAGGAATTAGGGAGCACACCCAGAACATGCATTTCTTAATAGTGGAACTGATTTTGTATAAACCAAAATATTTAAAAAAAAGATGTTAAACGAACAGTGCACACAAAGATATAGTATATAATATTATATGGCTACTGAAAGGGACAGTATAGGCACTCACACCACTTCATCTCATTGAAGTGGTCTGGGTGCAGTGACCCTGTCCCCTTATACCTGCAATGTAAAACGAAGCAGTTTCAGAGGAATTGCAATAAATACATTGCAGAGTTAAGACTGCCTCTAGTGGCTGTCAATCAGATCAGATCAGCCACTAGAGGCACTTCCTGTCTTCTCACTCTATACATCTAACAACTTCCAATTCCCCATAGCAAAGCATTGACCTGTATTCTGATTAAAACGTAAAATAAATAGTAATAAGATGTTTTTATTGTACCGGTAAAAAGGATCACATACTTTCTCTAATTATTTCCTGTCAGTGAATGTTTTATTTGACTGCTTACTTTCCATAAAGCATACCTACCAGCATTTCAAATGGAAAAATAGGGACATTTTAATTTTAGGGGTGCGAGGGGGCGTGACCAGGGGTTGGGCTGTTCTTAGAAATTATACGTAACTTACTAATATCAATTTATAAAACTAAAATGTAATTTGGAACAAGAACAATGTGTTTTCTTTGCACACACTGATTTCTAAACATATTTATTGCTGTTTAAAGACACATTACTGGGAGTATTATTGCTGTGAAGCTCTGTTATACACTCACATTACTGGGAGTATTATTGCTGTGGAGCTCTGTTATACACTCAGACACATTACTGGGAGTATTATTGCAGTGGAGCTCTGTTATACACTCAGACACATTACTGGGAGTATTATTCCTGTGGAGCTCTGTTATACACTCAGACACATTACTGGGAGTATTATTGCTGTGGAGCTCTGTTATACACTCAGACACATTACTGGGAGTATTATTGCTGTGGAGCTCTGTTATACACTCAGACACATTACTGGGAGTATTATTGCTGTGGAGCTCTGTTATACACTCAGACACATTACTGGGAGTATTATTGCTGTGGGGCTCTGTTATACACTCAGACACATTACCGGGAGTATTATTGCTGTGGAGCTTTGTTATACACTCAGACACATTACCGGTAGTATTATTGCTGGGGAGCTCTGTTATACACTCAGACACAATACTGGGAGTATTATTGCTGTGGAGCTCTGTTATACACTCAGACACATTACTGGGAGTATTATTGCTGTGGAGCTCTGTTATACACTCAGACACATTACTGGGAGTATTATTGCTGTGAGCTCTGTTATACACTCAGACACATTACTGGGAGTATTATTGCTGTGGAGCTCTGTTATACCCTCAGACACATTACTGGGAGTATTATTGCTGTGAAGCTCTGTTATACCCTCAGACACATTACTGGGAGTATTATTGCTGTGGAGCTCTGTTATACACTCAGACACATTACTGGGAGTATTATTGCTGTGGAGCTCTGTTATACACTCAGACACATTACTGGGAGTATTATTGCTGTGGAGCTCTGTTATACACTCAGACCAACAATATCGAGCTCCTAGAAAAGAGGGACATTAGGATAGATGGATTTGGGCCCTAAATAGAGGTATGCTCAGAAGACAACTATCACCTCAAAACTATATTTTATTCTAACAATCTTTTCTTCAAGTATTGAAATGAAAGATTTTTTAAAACAAAGTATATGTAAAAAAATGGAGTAAAATTCGTCCATAGACATTGCGCGTTTGGGTCAGACAGTGTTTGAAATCGGACAGTTAGTCTCTATGGTCTTTCCGGCTTCACTCCCAGCACAGAACATAGAGAGATACTAACTGTCACATTGAAACACTGTCCGAAGGATCCCGTCGTATACTAAAGGTAGGGATCAGATCCTCTCCTGTTTTACATATACTGCATTTAAAAACAAACACAAAGCCTTTATTCCCTCTCAATACTTGATAACAGGATTATGACATTAAACCAATAGCTTTGAGGTGACCCTGACAATTTGCCCTCATTCACTGTAATAATCTGCCCGTTCCCCATGAGAATCTATCTATTCACACTGAAAGAGAACATTATTATAATTATTATTATTATTGTAGCAGGGCTAACCATACAGATATCTTATCTCATATATTTGATAATGCCCATAGCATACTAAAGTTAGAATTCTAAGTGAATTTCAAATTTACGATCAAAATATCACATTTTCAATTAACTTTGAATTCTCACCTTAGTAACCCTGTTTTAATCCCCTCACTCTCCATGAAACTTTTGTCGATTCACTTTGAGAATCTGCGCATTCACTCACAGACCATGAGAATCTGCACATTCACTCACAGACCTTGAGAATCTGCACATTCACTCACAGACCTTGAGAATCTACACATTCACTCACAGACCATGAGAATCTGCACATTCACTCACAGACCATGAGAATCTGCACATTCACTCACAGACCATGAGAATCTGCACATTCACTCACAGACCATGAGAATCTGCCTACTGACTCACAGACGATGAGAATCTGCACATTCACTCACAGACCATAGAACCTGAGAATCTGTCCATTCACCCTGAGAATCTGCCCATTGAACCTGAGAATCTGCCCATTCACCCTGAGAATCTGTCCATTCACTCTGAGAATATGCCCATTGAACCTGAGAATCTACCCATTCACTCTGAGAATCTGCCCATTCACCCTGAGAATCTGCCCATTGAACCTGAGAATCTAGCCATTCACTCTGAGAATCTGCCCGTTCACCCTGAGAATCTGCCCATTCACCCTGGTAATTTTGCCCTGGAATCTGTCCTTTGTGGCTAAGATTGAACTTGGAAGTGTTTACCAGCGAGCAGCCGTCACTGATACTACGGATTAAGCTCTGTGCCATGTAACGTGTAGTTCCAGAAATCCCTCCAGGCTCGCAGTTCCCCTCCCAGCCCCCCTCCTCCTCCTTTGCATTATACACCTGCCTGTTCGGCAGGTTACCAGGGCTGCACCTAGACACGAACTCAGGCAATACGTGCACAGCTCCTGCATGAGGAAGCAGGAAGAGTTTGTCCTCATATTGGTCAATAAACAAAGACACGGAAACGGGAGTCAAGCAGCGGAGAAGGAGCCGAGCGGAGCTAACCAGCTGCGATACTTGGTAATACTGTGAGGGATAGGGGGGGGGGGGGCGGTGATTTGGTCAAACTGGCACCCCAGTTTCCTATTCATTTTGGCCGATGGGTCACAAGAGACTGGGCACAGAAAGAAGAACCAGAGATCGGTGGAGAGTAGATATAAACATACAAAATGAACCTGCTTTCAAACTCCCACTACTCCTGACCAGCAGCAATGACTGTAGTACACATCATCCCCAATATAGGCAATACAGAGCAAAGAAAAGGTTACCTGTGCAATATCCCAAATCCTTCCTACACTAACTATTCACCTTGCTGCTCCCAGCTAAACATCTCCAATGACACAGAGATACTTAGTACTGCTGGGGAGGTTTTCGGACAATTTGGGGGTCCCCTCAGTGACAGGGCAAACATTTGGGGGTATTTACTTATTTGTTAATGCTTGTGTCTACAATTGGTATTTTGCCACTGTGGTGAAATGTGGGTCTGTCCGTTAAGAATATACAGAAGCGTTAACATGATTCGGGTTATCTGTATTAGAACGTTGTATTTGTTAAGAAATTGTTAAGTCCCTACACAAAATTTTCTATAAATATATTCCAGTTTTGGGATGAAGTAAATTCCACAGAATTATGGTCTGAGATTTGTCCAAGGGGTGACTGGTGCCATTCTAGAAAAAGGCTAGCCCATGTTGCCACACATTTACTGGGTGGATATGGTAATATACAAATAATGCATCATCTAAGCCAATCCATGGTGGACTAAAGCCAGTAAAAAATGAAAGTGTACCCAGCAATCCATGCTTGCAGACGAGGCTAGTAACTTGTAGGCTTGGCTAGTATTCTAGGCTTTGATATTTTGGTCCCGGTTTTATCTCACAGCTAAGTTATTTTGGCCTCTGAAACATCCAGGTCAGATCCCAGCCAGCCCCATTTAGTGAATGACTTTGACATTTTTGTACATAAAGCCTCAAACATACTTAATGTATTCACTAAACCAGAAATTACGCTGGGAAATGCAAATTTTTCCATTCAAATAACAACTGGAAATACTCTGGATCCGCTATTTTGAATTAACAATTTAAATTCCCGTCATATCTCGGTTTAGTGAATAAATCTCTCTGTTCTGCCAGGAACCTCAATCCAATATAACAGTCTGTGGCCAGTGTTTGGTTAACAAAGGAGGGTGTGAACACTAAGGTCGAGTTCACACGTTTTGTGGATTTAGCCTTGGGGTTTATTTCACGATAGCTGCGTGTCGTCATTTAATGATTTTGCTGCCGGGTCTGCAACGAACGCTAGAATAATAACCTGCCTTAGTTTTTGCACCGTGTAACGCCAATGGAAGCAGTCTGTACGCATAGGGTCACAACATGTTCCTTCAAAAGTGCTGCCCTGTAGTATGTAGCATTCATATTCTGCAGGATAGAAATCAATAACCTATTCAAGGCAGACGTTTGGGATTGATCCTTGATTTATGAGCTGATTCTCTCCCTATCACCTTTACATTCTATAGACCGCAGGGCAGCACTTTTCATACTCTGTCCATCATCTTATTAAAAGGAAACATGATGTACATAACAAGGCTGAAACGATCGTCTGGGGTTGCTGTATCTCTCGTGCAGAGAGAGCTTGCTGGCATTTCGGATCTGGACTGCCTGTATGGATGGGACCAGTCTGATATGCTTCAGATATGTTCTCTCTGTAATGGCACAAGTTGAGCTAAAACCAGCTTGAGTTCTGAGCGGGGACCCACCGAAGGGCAGGCTATTTTAGCTGCTGTCCGTCCTCAGAATACTCTTGCGACCCATTTTTTGCTCTCCATGATGTACAAAACTCCTGCCATTTACTGTACATTTTACTTCCTGCTACGCCTCTCCTTCTACTCGTAAATACCTTAAAAATACACTGTGTTTATAACCGCACAGCAATAAAATACCTAACTGAGCAGAATAATGTCACAAGGCTGTTACCTCCAGCCGCTGCAGGAATGGAGAATACACAGTGCTGTCCTCTAAAGTGTGAACTGTTGTGAATTTAAAAATTTATGCCAAAATATCCGATCCTGATTTGGTGTATTTTAACAGTTCTGCTATTTTTGCCTAAAATTTGAAAAATGACTTACAGTTTCTTAAAATTGACATCATAGGTTGTTCGCAAAACTCTGAATTGTAGCAAATTAAAATCTATACCTATAGAGGTTGTAACGGACCGTTTTGCCCACAAGAGGTTAAAAAACGTTTAGGTGATATTCCCCTCTCAGATGCACAGGCAGCTACTGTAGACACCAATCCACTGAACCGGAGAAGCATATGAATGCTCTCAAACATACGAATACTGTAAACAGCCTAATAGGAAAAACCATACGAATAGGTTTACACTCCTAGCAGTCGAACTGGAACAGCATACAATAAATCCCCCCAAGAACGAGACAAGGCTCCCTTTTGAGGGTCAAGCAGGAACAGGTTTACTGGGGCTACCTGCCCGGCTTTTATGCAGGTCTCCCCCCTGGTGGACACTCCCTTAGGGGACCAGATGGGAAACTGGGAAACATATTGGCCCTTTGCCAATCACATACATACACCTTTAAACACTCCCACAATTACATCACAATCCCTCCTCTCTGTCCTGGAGATAATTGGGAAGTAATCCAATTATCTCCAAGGACAGAGGCAAAACTCCATTACACACATTTTCAGTAAAAGACATAAAATTACACATAGTCACATTTATTACATAAAACATATACATCCTACCTATCCCCAGATAGCTTAGATCTGAGCACACATTACTACTGAATGGCGCTCAGATCACATACATACATTTCAATCGCCATGGAGCCAAAGTATTTCACATAGTCTTTCGTTACACGAATAGGCTCCATGGCTTAGCTATCTGGGTGATGCTGTTCATCCGGTTAAACTACCGAATGAACCGTCATTCGGTTACGCTACCGAATGGGAAGGTAAGGAGGCTGGCGGCTCAGCGGTGTTCGCGCCAATAAGTGTCCGTTTTCAGTTCCATAGTTTGGGCGCTGAACACCGCTGGCCATTTGGGAGGTAAAATGGCCACTGCCACGTGTTCGGCAGACGAACAAAGGCCACCCAGCGTTCATCAATTAAGCTGCGGTTAACCGCAGCTTCTGGGCGGTCAATTGACGGCACACTCCAGTTCCCAGGTGGTCCATCGTTCGGTAGTTTGAATCTACTGAACACCCCGGCAGAAAGGCACGAATAAACCTTTCAGTAGGGGAAATAACAGAGCTGAACTGCAGGGCCATAGTCTAAAGGGAGCAGGCGAGCAACCAGGCTTCTCCAGTGCATAGTGGCGAGGTTGGTTCCGCCACAGAGGTTTATACACTAAATCAGGAAACGACAGAGAAAAATGACTGAAGTTTAAACTATTTCTTGTTAAATCTGTGTTCCTAACACTATCATGCCCTCGTCCACATTTATATTAGAGTCCGCTAGAGGTGTGTTTAACCCAGGAATGCAAACATTGTAAGTATATAAATTTTACAACGGTGAAATAAAGGGGGAAAGATTGCAATTGGTTAGAGGAACAAAGGGTAAATACAGGCCTGGTTAAATGAGCTTACAATCTAATGGCCATATTTGACGTTGCTTTACAAAGTCTATACTTTTCTTACATTTATGGTGGTGCAATGTATAGATTAATTTTATGCTCTTTCCTTAGAATAAAAGTTAATGAGTTAGTGTACACATAACAGTAAGGTTCTAGTGTCCCATTATTCCTTATTACTAAATAACTTGTATTGAATTTCCATTGAAAATCTCCTCTTTAAGCCGACCACCTTGAACTCTCCATAAAGTGTATCAGCATTGTGTGTCTTTGTATTTCTCTGCAGGAAGTAGAAACGAGGTGACCCCTTGCCCATCGTCCCAAGATGTCAACCAACAGTAGTATTCAGCAGCAGTTTCAGGATCAGTGGAACGATGTGCTCGGGAAAATTGCCTCCAAGCAGATATTTCAGTCCGACTGGGATATCGCTGCCTTTGTCATTTTCTTTACATTTATCGGTGAGAATCCTGAGACCAAATCTAATTTTTACCCCAAACTGACATTAGTAACCATCTCACACCTTCCAGAATCAGTTTATATCTATTGTTTAGATAGAGGGTTACTGTAACCCTTCTTGAACATTTGTTTTAAGTTAACATGTGCTCCTGGGTCCTTGCCTCCTGTTTAAAATCTGCAAAAAAGAGTTTAGACTTACCTGCAATCTAGTGGCGGGTGAAGCGCCCGGCGCTGATCTCCTTTCTCCGTCAGCATGGGCTTTGCACAGTCCAATCACAGGCTTCTCATGGAGGAGAGGGAGTAGGGATTGGTCAGCAGAGTGAAACACAAAAATAAAAAGAGTTGCAAATGAAACGCGTAGAACCGGGTGGGGGGGAGGGGGGCACGAATACACAAAGGGAGGTCAAGCTTCCTCCTTGCAGGTTCTGGGGATGTTAGCGCACCAATTCTAGTAGATTATGAACCAGATAAAGATATAATAATCCTTTTAAATGGGCTGGTGTCTGTTTTGGGACCCCTCGCCCCTTCTCTCTCTCTCTCTCAGTGAATGACATTGTCTGGGCACTGTTTAGTACTGGCATGAGGGCCATCACAATATATCTCTGATTCTTCTCCCCAGGGCTGATTCTCTTCCTAATCGTCCTCGTCCTCATCAGATGTTTCTGCTGCTGCTGTTGTGACTGTGATTCGACTGGGAATAAGGTAATGGAGGATGGCGCCTGCGTGGCTACCTGCTGCACCTGCGCATTGTTTGTACATACTGTGACGGTAGATTTATACATATATATAAAGCTAGAAGGATTTGTTCATTCCATGCATGCCAATGACTTATTTATAAATAAAGTGAAATATTTCTTCTATCCACAGAAACATTACAAACAAAAGATTGGCGTGGACAACCATGGTATGGAGCTATAACGCACTCTGCGTTAATGACTGACAGCGCATGGAGCCAATGAAAACAGAGACATTTTATTCCTCTCTCCTGCTGAAATGAAGCCACACCCCCTAGGGAATTGTTAAATAGTTCGTAATAGCAGAATTGATTCATAATTAAAGTCAGTATAGGGAAACTAACAAATAAAAAGCAAATGGAATTTAAATATTGTGAAAAAACATGAGGCCACTCTCTGCTGATATAATGCTTTTTGTTGAATTTGGGGGGTTTGTTGAATTTGGGGGTTTGTTGAATTCGGGGGTGCTAACCTGCTGCAACTAAAAAAACAATCACAAAAATTAACAGTTTGTTTAAAAAAGTTAATGAATGCCCCATCGAATTCTCTGCATTTACTCACAACAACGAAGTTGGTGAATATAATTGTACGCGTGTGATAATTAATATGCACATGATTAGCAATACTTGTACAATAGTGCAGTACAGGAAAACATTAGTTTATATTATTAACAACATACTAAAATGCATTGTCTTCCTTGATCTATTATCAGCAATGAAATGTTTGTTATGGCTGATGACCGTTATGTAATTCAGCAATTATATTTATAGTTTCGACTTTGTAAATAAAAGTGTTTTATTTTAGTAGTGAAACTAATTATTTCTTCATGTTCTTTATTTACTTGGGCAGAAATTGATTAAAGTTGTGTGTTTTATTCACTAAACAGCACATTGCCGTTATATGAGAACTGACTTGTCTAGCGGAAACAAAGGGACTTGGGGGACACATCCTGAATAACATGTCCACTTCTCGCCCTCTTGTTTTAATATGCCACAACCCGAAGCCCATGAGTGGAGAGTAATAGGGTGGACAATAGCATGTTCTTGGGATGTTCCCCTCCTGCTATTTTATTAGGAGCCCTCACCTACTGCCTGTGTGTGGGGACTTTAAGTGATGCCAAAGAAAATGTAGATTCCTTCGGCAGCTCATGGGTTGAAGCCGAGGGTCTAAAGAATATCACTCACCTCACTTTTTTTGGTCGGGTGAGTGCTTTAGAATATCCCCCCGCTGGCTGGCCATGGATGGGGCAGTGTATTAGACCATGGCCTGCCCACTGTTTATTGATTGAATTTCAGGCCCCCATCCAATGCCTGCGAAGTCAGGTCCTCACAATATTTTACAGGTTCTCTCCCTATGGGATGTACCACTGTGCCGCAAAAGCTGCCTAGTTTCTAGTTTTTAATTATAGTGCGAAGCTGCTCACTATTAAGTAGATACGTCCCGTATACTAATATGGGGGTTATATTAACTCACACACTTTTTAAGTAACAGTATGCGCTGGCCAGCCACATTATTAACCAACGTGATGCCGAGGGGTTTTGGTTTTTGCAAATCGTTTTACCCAAGAGAAATTACATGGATGACTTTTTTCGAACTAATCAATACGGAGGAAACCAATATCTTTGCATTGCACAGATCTACAAATACACACAAAAACACTAAATCTGTTTTAGACCTATTGACGTTATGTTATAGTGAATCCAAAATGAATATCAAAATAAAAGGTTTTTGCTTCTGCTTTGATCTGAGAAGCACATCCCGCTTCCGCACTCTCCCCAGTGACACGGTTCTATGATGTGTCAATTAAAATATGTGCCTTTGAAAACAACAGGTTAATCTGTCACTGATTTCCACGTTACTCTTGTATGTGTCATGAGGCTGAATTGGCATCTAATAGGCCAGTGACGTGGTGACAGCCAGGATTAGTACATGCAATAATTGTCATCGCTCTGGAGAGAACCATCTGACAATGAGACACAAAGAACTTTCAGGAGCCAAGCTCCCACTTCTCATCTTGTGTCAAGAATACAATTCACTGGGGTCCGAGGAATCTTCTAGAAAGAGGGGCATTAATTAAAGACACTGTACAGGAATCATTGTCTGTACTGGCCTGCAGAATATGTGTAACTATGACAAGGAGCTGAGATCAGAGTAATTAAACATTTTATTCCACGGAGACCACGCATTCCGCTCGCTGAGTGCCGGATTGTGTTATGGCGTTAAGAAAGGGAACTTGTTACATCGATGATGTGTTTTTGTCTAAACTCAGGGGAGTACGGAGGGCAAATGAGTTCTAGAACGCAGACAAGAGGGACAAATTTAAATTGGAGATGTTTTAACGCAATTCCGCTGCAATCTGTCCAGTTACGAGGCAAATCCTCTGCTTTGTAGGGCAACTATGTATCAATTCAACTGAGCTTTGGGCAGTTTGGGGCAATTTGGCTGATCTCTACAAGTTTTGATTTCTGGGGAGATTTGGGAACAGTAGCTGAAGTCAAGGTAGTTTAAGGAACTAATGAAAGTTAAAATGGGGCCAGCTATTAGAACTCTGCACAGTAGTGGAGCATCCCCTCCTTTAACTCTGTGTAGTTGGGAGGCGTATTGGCTGAATCAATGTGCTGCAGTTTTGGAGCAAATAATCTGAACTCATAGCAGTTATTGGGAATTTTCACTGAACGAAAGCCAGTTACAATACAAAAGAGCCAATTGGTGAAGTTAAGGAGAAGCTGGGCAAATAAAATTAACTATGGAAAATTGGCCAATTTTGGGCCTTCTTTGGAGGGCATATTATCTGAAGCCACATGGGATCCCTCATTAAATTCAGGGTTCACAGATCTGTTGAAAGATACAGCCACTGCCCATATAGCACTTTAATCCCTACAATCCTCAGATAGCTCAGAATTGCATTGCTAAGATACGTGGAGAGGTAGACTGAATAATTCACTCATAAAAATATTTATTGTTTAGGTGATGTGCCCCATCTCCCAAGCATTCAAAAAAGCTAAAAAAAAATAAACATTCAACAGACTATAAAGGCTTACCCCTAAATGTAGAAATGGGGGAACCAGTGCTTGTATATATTAGAAAAAAAAGAGGAAAAAAATAATTGTGCAATATTGTTCTGCTTTACATATAGGATAATCACAAAGAGATGAATTAGTCTCACAATTCTGTGAGCCTTTTATACGTTATAATAAGTCATTTACATCTTATACAGCCGGAGACATGTGTCCCCTCTCCCCCTTAGAGCATTCTGCCGATAGGAACCGCGCTGGGTATCTGAGCAGCCATGACAAATGCGGGGTTAAAGCTACAACCACTGCACTGAGACCACTACATTTGGATGGGTGACTATAGTGTCCAATGGGCACTATAGTCACCAGAACAACTACAGCTTATTGTATTTGTTCTGGTAAATAGAATCATTCTCACCTTCACTGGCCACTCCTCAGATGGATACTAGAGGTGCTTCCTGGAGCAGTGCTACAGAGTGAGCAGCACTGCCATTCAGTGATTTCACCCTCTGCATGCAGACAATGAACCTTCCTCATAGAGATGCATTAATTCAATGTATCTCTATGAGGAGATACTGATTGGCCAGGGCTGTGTTTGAATTGTGTTGGCTTTGCCCCGATCTGCCTGCTTGAAAAGCTCAGACAGTCCAATGCTTTCCTATGGGAAAGCCTTGTGATTGGTTACGATCAAGACTTCTTGATGTCAGCTAAGCAGGCAGATCAGGGGCAGGGACAGCAGCAGACAAGAATAAAAGTAAGATTTTACTATATTTAGGGGGGCAAGGGAGGCCAGAAGGGCTAGATGGTGTTTTTTTTTTTTTAACACTATACGGTCAGGAATAGCCCTATATAGTTCCTTTAGGTAACAGAATTTAAAACGGATTTTATATGTGTGCATTATAACTTAATAGTATATTATTCTCCAATTCATTTATAGATACAGTTTGGTTATTTTAGAATTAATGTTGCTGTTCATTTTTTAAAACAAGTTTTGTTTTTAGTGAAGGAACTAAATACCATACAGGGGGAATTTCACTAAAATAGGAATTGTAAAGAATAGACAACGGATTGGAAATTCTAGGCCATAACATCTTAATTAAAACCTTTTTTCAAAATTATATTTTTCCAGAAATCATAATTTGGCCTAATATGTACAATTCCTAACATTTCTATTTACTTTCATTTGAGATTTAGACAATTCACAATTTCGTAAATATTATTTTATTATTTATATAGCGCCAGCAAATTCCGTAGCGCTGTACAATGGTTCTTGAGGTTATGTCTATTTAAATGATTAACAGCACAATGTAGAGTAAATCCGTTATCATGATTTCCTGCTTATGCATTATCTGCGGCAAACACTATCTAAACAGTAAACCAATAAAAGAAATGATAATCGGCAATATATCACACTATCGGTGTCAAACATGAGATATATGTATCTCCCTGGGATCCTGACTCTCTCTAACAAGAAGTTCTGTTAAATCCCAGCCCTGTTCAGTTAGTTATGAAGGGGTTTGTAAAGTTCAGATAAATATTATTCATTAAAGGGAAAACGCCAAGCACCATACACAATACAGCCCACTGTAGTGGCTATAGTTCCAGGACTGCACTGGTACTTTTCCAAGGTAAGTCTCAAACCATTTAAGAATGGTTTAACAACTTACCTGGAGACTGCTGGGTGACCACCGCCACCTCCTTTTGGGCTCAAAGTGGGGCTGAGTGCAGAGCCCGCTTAAAGGCCAGAAGGTTGTCAAAGCATTTGCAAATTGGCTGTAGTGGTTATGGTGTTTGGAGTTTACCTTTAATTTAATAATTATGTCAAGCCTTGTGTTGTGCAACTTTCAAGTAAAATCTTTGAATAAGGTTAATAAAATATAGCTTAACCTCTGCGCAGTAGTGCTTTCTGGGTACAGCAGTGGATTCTGGGAGTTGTAGTTCAGCAGGCAGTCATTTTGTAGTACAAAGCTATCGAGAGTCTTCTCAAGATGTGTTTTTTATGATCTGATTCTCCTACTTGTTCAAAGTCTTGGGGGAAGGAGAGAGAAATAATTAACTATTTTAACACCAGGGTGTACAAATAGTAAACAATTAAATATTTGCCAGGAAAAGTCAGGCCAGCCCCGAGCCCAGCAGTCACGTGACGGTTCTAACTGAGTAATAATGGGACATGGTGAAATTCGCAGGGCGCGGATTTAAAGGCTGGCTTGAGAGAAATGAGATTGGATGCGGGCAGCAGAAAATGCTATTTAAAGTAATCTATAATTCAATAACTTCATCAGACAACACGAGACACTCATCAGGATCTCTGACTCCCAGAATACATTGCTGCCAAAAATCTATACAACTTCGACAAAAAAAAAAAATATTTCACCATGTGTCGTACCTAACCTCTGACCAAATATATCTGCAACACACACATAAAAATAAAAGACTGCGTTGTTTCAGGCATCCCTGAACAATGATCTTTGAACAAAATGGTGGTTCTGCGCTTACATCATGCTATGAATTCATTGGTTAATATATCACTAGGCTTCGTTCGCTGAACTGTAAATTGTAGCAATAAAAAAAAGAATATGTGTGTGTGTGGTCAGGGACAAAAGCTGTACTTCTAAGATAAATAGAAGTATATAAGCCCGGTGGTGTCTGCCCTGTAATGGAGGTGGTCTGCGTTTCTATAGCCGGGTAACCCCTCCCACATTTACAGGCTGTGTCTTTCTATAAATCATATCTCAAAAACTGCAACATTTAAGCTCAAATAATTGAGCTGGACAAAATGTTTTGCTGAAAAAAAATCAGAGTTTAGTGACAAAATGTCAGTTTGAACTATTTT